ATGTCGCCACACTCTTAAGTCTCATTGTTCGGTTTTAAATCTGCCCGGTGGCTTATCTTTTCTTTTTGAGAGATTGAAATCAGTATATTAGATTATTAGTAGGTTTGTATGTGGAGTCAGTCTCACAAGAGAAAAGAAATATTTCAATGCACTAGAAAAAAAAAAAANNAAAAAAAAAAAAAAAAAAAACCGCAAATGACGAACATTCATGTGGAAACCACGGTTGACACAGTTTTTCTTCAGGTTTTGATTTGAACATAAACTGTTTACAGACAGCAATTTTACATAAGCTTTAGTTGCAATGGTTTCTTCCAGGCGAAGCAGCCCCAGGTGTTCCTCCTTACAAAGTCCTGTCATCATCCATATAGAAAGGTAAGACAAAAATTTACCGATCGTAATTTGTTAACAGTTACCGCTAAACGGGCATTATTTCTACTCACCATAGATGGCTGTTTACGCATTCTGTTGACTTTCCTCTGGCAACTTCTTCTCCGGCTCATCACTATCAGCTCTCCAAGTGTCAGCAGGGGCCTTCTCACTTGACTGGAATTTCTCTCACTAGGGAGGACCTCTTTACTACTATCCATTTCCAGTAGCCCATCTTTATTCGAAAAACTCGAACTCGGCACCAGCAGAGGAAAAAGCCACTCCAAGAAAGAAGCTCCATTCTCCTGAAATGGAGTTTGCTGAACAGGGACAGGTGTCGCGTGTACATTGGCTGGCGGTGTTACGCTGACACCAGCTATGAGGGACTGTTCGGACCCGAACGATACACTCGTTTTGAAACTGCATGCTTCTGAGGACTCTGAGTCTGATAATTCATTAGCTCCTTTGCAATCATTTTGTGAAGGGTGTTTTGGAAAAGTGTAGGATTGGAGGGGTGTGCCGGGCTTTTCTTCCCAACCGAAAGGGACAGAGACGACAAGCTTGACAGGTGGCGGACAGGGATTGGTGCTGACTGGACGTGGGGTGGGTTTCCAGTCCTTTTTGGGCGTGCCCGGTTTTTCTTCCCATGCGAACGGGATGGAGATAAGCTGTTGCTTTCGTTTGTGCTCGTTCTTGGGTGGTTTTGTTTCTGCCATTTTGGGGCTTGTTGAGCTGTGTTGTTTCTGCGTTATTTAGCTTTGGTGTGTGTGTGTATATATATGTAGTTATGCTGCGAATGAGGTGAAGTGGTGGGAGTTTCAACAACTTCCTTGAACTATGCCAACGGAACCATATTTTGTTTTGAGAATTTGGTGTACCTAATAATCCTAATAATGCCTTGTTTGGATGATGAGTTTGGACTTTTTCTTTACTGGTGTTTGACTACTCCATTTATTGCCTTATATTATATAGATTTAGATGGACTTGTATTCACCCCTAGAATTTAAAAAAATATATAAAACACTATCAACTTAAATTATAATTATAACTTAAAATTTAATAATTATTTTATTTGTTCTGTGAGAGATCTTCCATTAGACAAATATATTACATATATAAAAATATGTATACTTCTATAAATATAAATTAAATAAATATGAAAATTGTAAGAATATTTGATAATTTTAAAACAAAAGCTTGTGTGTTTATGTTTTTAATGTATAAACTTTTTTTTTTTTTTAAAATTAACACCTTGCACCACTATATTGAACGAAAAATATTGATATATATAACCGGTTAAAAATTATACATCTACTAGTACAACACACGTGTACCACACGAGTGTTTGTTAAAAAAATATTCTTAAATTTTAAAGATAAATATAAATTTGTTATTTTTATACGTACAATATAAATGTTAAAATCGAAGCTCATCAAGAGATGATTAATTTAATATATTATATATATATATATGTAATACTGATAAAATAAAAAAAGTTATAAACTTTTGAAATACATTTACGTATTAAAATGCAATTAATACATGTAACATTACCATAAATAGTTAACATATTTATGGATAATCCGGACCTAATTATTTTTGGATTGAAAGTAATTTAAAATCTACCAAAACCTAGTAACAAAACATGTAATTTTGCACATAGGATCTCAAATTATGCGAGTCTGCCACGTAGGCTTAACACATTATGAGTTAATATATAATGAAGGGAAGGGGATATATATTTTATAAGAAAATTCTAGAAATTCAATATTACCTTAATTCCACATATTTTATTAGAGCTTTTCTACATATTCGGAGATGAAATACATGTATTATTCGAGAAGGAATACCGAAAGAAAAGCAAGAAAGTTCTAGAATATCATCATATGATCTTTCCATAATTTCCTTGACCCATTCGGATTGGAAAAACCACATAAATTCTTCCCCTTATAAATATTCGAACTCACGGGCGCAAAACAAAGCAAATTAATTATATTCTCCAAAAAAAAAAAAAA